TCTATAATGCTAGAACAACCAAAGTGGGTCATGCCACCTAACACCTATGTTCCAAACGAATCTGTAGGATCATTCCTAAGTCACATTTGAACAATAAATCACAAATCACAACATCTATGCAATTTAACCAACATAAAAACATGCTATACAAGCAACTAGATATAGATTCTCAAAGTTACTAACTTGAAATCTACAATTATGAAAACTACTAAATATAACAATTTAGTACAATTAGAATTTCTAATACCACAAGTCAAGACATAGATTCTCAAGGTAATCAACTTGAAATCTAAAAGTGTGAAAACAACTAAATATAACAATTTAGTATAGATGTACTTAACAACATCAAATCGCCAATAGCCAAAACCACAAGTCACAATTAAACATGATTGTCAACTTGGAATTGAATGCGAAAACAAATAGTGGAAGACTTGGACATCAAAGATCGGATTTCCGCCGAGACAAGGCAAATTTGGAGCTACTAACCCCCAGGCAGCCTACCCAACGCGCGAACTGTTGACTTAGAGGACTCACGTCCCCGTACTAGAGCCAAACTCTAGCTACCTTACAAAATAATGTCCCAAGACTCCAAAATAATCCAAGTAAGTTCACAACTTATACATAATTTATATAATGCACGAAATCATATTCCATGCACAAGTAGATTGTATCCACACAATACATGCCCTAAATCCACTATTACTATAGGATAACAATGTCGAATCTTCAAAGTGCGATTCGCTACACACTATAACAATATAATCCAATATTGAAAACATAAACTCATAAATTCATTATAAGTCAAAAGTCATGCTTTAAACATACTATCAATATAAAATATATGAGTTAATCAATAATACAATAGAAATGGAATTTAATCAATAAACTAATTAAATTCCCTAGGTTTCAAATCTCAATCAAATGGCCTCCAAATTAACATATGCTAGAACATAAGTCATAATTATCATAAATATCAAGTTAAACACTTAATTAGGCCAATGGAACCCTTAATTAGATTTTAATTAATCATTTTAATTAAAATCTCTAAATTTTCACACTTGTCCAAATGCTCTCAATTTAAAGTATGTTAAACAACATACCAAAACATAATTTAAAAGCATATCACAAGTCAATTTCATGTAAGGTATGACCATGAGATTCAATCTTTCACAAAAAATAAATATTAAATAAAAAGTGCAACTCTTATTCAATTAATCCCAATTTAATAAATGTTAACAAACATATTAAAACATGATTTTCTAGCATGCCACAATTCCATTCTAAGTTATACACATCCTTGTGAATTAAATTTCATACAAAGAAATAATTAATACTAGTTTTCTAGAATCGATACAAGGCATGCAATTAAGTTGTATAATCATGCTAAACACTTAATACAACACACACAAAAGCCTAGAACATCCCCTACCTCAATTGGAATGAAAATCCCAATTACCACCGAAGTGAAATCGCCCCAAATTTTTGGTCCGCAAGACAGATATTTCAGCTTGTTACCTTCAACTTGGGAAATTCATAAAAAATTCATTTCTAATCCAAATTGAATGAATCCAAAGCCAATGAAAGCTTAAACACTGTAATTTGATAATATCAATTTAGTTTAACAAAATATTTTCCCAATTGAAACAGTTTTGACCCACAACTTTGAAACAAATTCTGCCCAAAAAACACATTTTCAGCCTGTAGCTTCCAACTTTGAAAATTTATGAAAAATTCATTTGACATCCAAATTGGGCAAACCTAATTTATTTTGGAAGTAAATATATGAGAGTGTAAAACTGGAAATTTAAGCCATGATCCAATGTAAAAAGGTTAGTAAAATAAATCATCTAAAAATATATTTTCCAGCTGCAATAAAAACATGGACAACAGATAGTCTCGGATTTTTAAAAGATTTTAGAAATGCTCTAAAATCGTGAAAAAATTCTGAGTGGTGTAAAATCCATGGAGAAAGTTTCAGTAAAAATTTCAAGGTAATTGAAGCACCACAGCTCCATATAAAAATTCGTTTCCGGACCGGATAAGAAAAGATTTAAATTTCCAACAACTAGCTTGCAACTTCAAAATTCATAACTAATTCATTTTAAATCCAAATTACATGAAACCAAAGCTAATTGGAAGCTAATTGATTATATTTTCATGTTATATATTTAATTTGACAAGATTTATTTCAAGTTAAAACAGTTTAAGGGCAGAATACAAGTCCTTCTCTTCTATGCATGTAAAACACTCAATAATGACATAAAAATACTTCAAAATAATAGATCAATACCTCACTAGAGAATTGAATCCCTAGATACCAAAGCAAAACTAGGAGTTAGGCTAGATCCTTCAAGGGTTTTGAAGAGAAGGATGAGGGAAACAAAAAGTATTCCAAGCTTTATGGTCTAAAGTAAATGGAAGGGCCTCAAAGATCAAGGTCAATGCCTAAAGCTTCAAGCTTCATCCATGGAGGCTAGGGTTTTGTGGTGAGGAAGAAAGAGATGAAATGTGAAAATGTGTGAGTGGAGGAAATAGAAATCCTCCACTCACTATGTGATCCTACACCATGGTCAACACACACATCTATGGTCAATTGCACAAAAACCCTCCTTTAAAACCATAATCCCAAAGTGGCCTAAAGATATTTGCAAGACTAAATTGTGAACCTACACTTGTCACCAATCCATGGCTCCTTCCTAGGCTTAATCCCACACCTACACTTGTCAACCATCCAAGCCAACAAGTGCACCAATCCTAGGCCAACAAGTGGGTGAATCCTCACCCTCCAAATGTCATCATCCAATGCATCAAAGTGTTTCCACACAAATGTCAACAAGTGGACCAATGAGAGTGTGACACTTGTCACACTTTTCAAAAATTGCAAAAAGGCCCTTTTTGAAAATATCTTCCAAATTTAATTGCAAAATGGTCCCCAAAATGAAAAATAATTACTTTATTTAATTACACTAAAACCCACAAGTTAAGAAGAATTACACTAAAGTATGCATTAATGTCCCTTTATGAAGGAAGTAAGTAATCAACATGCTTTTCTAGAAAAGTAAAAATACCACTATCATGGTAATCAAATATCATGAATGCATGCAAAACCAGAATCAAATCGGAGCACAAAAAGTGAGGTTGTGAAAGGAAAAAGAATAAACGAGAAAAAGACAAAATGTGAATAGTGTTCGGAAAAATAAAATATGGAAATGACACAATCCCCAAAGGAACTTGTCAATCCAAGGAAAAAAGTCTCGAAAATCATTCCAGAACACTCGAGACGACATCAAATGATGAAAAACCGAACCCAAAAAGGAAAAGACAACGGAAAAAAAAATATATATATCCGTTAAAATCTAAGAAAAAGAAAAGGAAGAAAAATGACCGGGTCATTACAGTATTAAAGAGTCAAGTATGGAAGAGTTACTAGTCATATAATCGGTGGCCCCTGCATCAATAACCCAAGTGTTAGAAGCAGTAGAAATAAAGACCAAACTAGAATTACCTCCTTGAGATGACACTCAAGATACATGAGAAGCAGAAGATGGAGAAGTGTCGGTGATAGCAACTTGAGCCAATTTCTTATTCTTCTTCTCAGCTTGCTTAAGCTTGAACCACTCTGGATAACCATGCTTCTTCCAGCAAACATCAACCGTATGTCTCGTACTATTGCTGTAAGTGCAGAGACGAGAAGTAGAGTCGGTAAAAGGAGGAGCTGGTCGGGAACTCTTTTGGACAGTAAGAGCCGAGGCCTCTGAGTGATCCTTTATTGCCATGGTGACCTGTCTCTGTGCTTCACGATAAACTAGAGAATATACTTCTTCTAGGCTTGGTAAAGGAGAGGTAGCTAGAACACGACTACTAACTTGATCCAAACTATGATCCAAACCTGCAAGAAACATATAGAACCAATCCTCAGAAAAATGCTTCCTCTGTTTCTCAATATCAGTTGCACACGTCATATCATTTGGTTTTCGATAATCAAGTTCCTTGAAGATTGAGTTCAGCTCATTGTAGTATTCTACAAGAGGCCGACCATCCTGACGTAATTGAAAGGACTTCTTCATTAGTTCATAAACCTGAGAAGAATCAGAGACATCAAGATAGCTTCTCTTGAACACATCCCAAACCTCCTTGGCCGTTCCACACTGCACAAAGTGGGACATCAGATTAACCGTCATGGAATTGATAAGCCAAGACTTGACATTCATCATATAGCTTGGATCATCCTCTGCAGGTGCAACCTTTCTCCCTGTGATATATCCCTTTTCTGTCTACTAGCAATATGCATCTCCAAAATCTGACACCATCCAATTTAATAGGAATGGGAGAAGAAGTTTCATGAATAGTCATCGTGGAGGACTTCTTGTTGTCAGATGAAATCTCGGTTAGAAAGGAAGAATTAGTGGTTGTTTTGGCTGCCATGGATTCTCGATTAAAGAGGAAGAATCAGTGGTTCTATAAGAAGGATTGAAGACAAGCAGCAGCAGCACAAAGAAGATAGATGACGGCTGTTGCAGGTCTTTAGAATTAGGGTTACAAAAAGATAAAGAAAGTAGCGGAAATTCCTTTCTTTTTGCTCTGATACCAAATTGACAAATGGCTGAAAAAGATTCTTTACTTTTTTTTTTTGATAAGTGAAAAAGATTCTTTACTTTCATATATCTCAAGGATATTTATACTAAATACACAGACCTATTTAAGGTAAGTCAACTATACAATTAAATTGACAGCTAATACATTAATTTCTAGATAAATAAGGAAAAACCTAGATATGTAGATATTAATACAGTTGTACACGCTAACTAGATTAATCACATTTTTTATACGGGGGGCTAAATCTCAGAGTCAGTCTGCATCATTTCAAATTTGGAATGCTACTACTCGAATCAATTTAGATTTTAATTACAATATATATCAAGGACTCATTTAGAAAAGAAATAATAATATCAAAGACTCCCTCCAAGTCCACATATCCACAAACACATATAGAAGGTTACCCTTTCAAGCTCATTCATCAAGATTTGGCACATTCCAAGTCGGCAATATCGAAACCGCGTACCAATAAGCGGTAAATCCTTGAGAAAAAAAAGGAGAAGAAGAAGAAGAAGAAGAGCATTTCAGATTACCATAAAATCTAAAAAAGACAAGGCAGTTCATCATGGATCTGTAATAGTAAAGTACCGTACAGTAGCCACCGTAATCAATTCATCATTTCTCTCCAAAATGATTGTATAAAACCCTCGGCAGTTCAAACGATTTAGTTCTGACCTGCAAAATTCCCTTTCATTACCATCAGGCTTGGAGCAATAAGATGTATGTCTTCCGAGTAATAAATAAAAATATCATCAAAGGACATGGACAAACACACCAACTTCAACTAGGAAAAAAAGAAAAAACACACACACACACACCAACTTTATATAACAGCAACAGTGTAAGGAAAAACATCACAGGTTTAAAATGAGATGGACTGAAGTAAAAGTAGTGATCTAACCTCCAGCTAACAGCAAACACCCATGAGATGCCAAGTGAGCGAAAAATTTGACCAAATATATCTTTTTATCAAGACCAATATATAATACATGCGAGTTTTCCAATCATTCAGAAAATGTTATTTCTCTTGGCAATAAGGGAAATCATTATGACTTGAGAAGATGTAGTTCAATAAAAACAAGGGCGCATCTAGGTGTCAGGATTGAGCCCACCCCAAAAAAAAAAAATTTTTTTTTTTTTAACGATAAGCAATTTTAGCCCAGCAAAAAATAAAAAATAAAATAAAATAAAATTATTACTAGTATTAGCCCACCCAAAAATTTTTAGCCCACCCTATTAACAATTCCGGAATCCGTCCTTGAATAAAAATAACATTACCAAGAACCTGCGGTCACAAACATCATAAGAACATTGTATATCTGGGAACCTTGTACATGTAGATGATATTGTTGAAAGTAATCTGGTACCTTAGAGAAGGGGCTTAAGTGGGAAGTTAAATTGTTAGGAACCAGTAGAAGAAAAAAGTCATGGAGAAATTTATGGATCATGAGTGACATCAGATTAATAGTCAAAATTAGAAGAGAATACCGACGACATATTGACACATTTTTTTTTAATGAAAAAGACTTTAATAGAAGACAGGAAGGAAACATAAGAAAGAGGAAAGGCTTTGATATTTTTAAACGAAAAATACGTTTAATAGAAGACAGGAAGGAAACATAAGAAAGAGAAAAGGCTTCCTCAAGGATATACTGACAGAGAAATACAAGGAAAGTAACATGCAATAAAAGAAAATTATAGACACTATAGAGCAACCATCACTTGTTAAAATCAGTTGTCTTGTCCTGGTGACAACTTATCTCAACCAATGTACAAACAACTTGAAGAAAATTTATGAGTACAAAGCTAAGAATAAACATGCAGTAAGCAATCAACTCGTGCTAGTAACATCAATGCAGTCAAATACCACTCAGAAAAGAAATATCAGAACAGAAAGAATATCTATGGAACCACAAGCACAAATAACAATAGCTCATGAATGAAACAGAAATCAGAAAATATAGAATAACTTTCTAGTTCAACAGTTGAATAAAATATACGCATGTATACATGTGTGTTTGTGTGTGTGTGAGGTTGAGTGGTTAAAAGATGTCTTTAATATATTCACCAAGTAACAATATAAACAATGTCATGTTCCCTACACACACACACACAAATACACACAGACATAAAACGCAAAAAAAAAAAAAAAAAATGTGAAGAGAACTGAATTTGGAAATGAGATTCTCACCATCTACTGAAGATGATATCTTCAACGAGATCTCTCCTTGTGTGAGATTCCTTAATGGGCTCAAAACACTCATGCATCACACAAAGAGCAACATTGAGCTTGCTGTAACTCTCTGTAAAAGCCTCATCGTCAGAAGCATCATGATCACCGTCACATTTCGTGCATTTCAAAAGACTCCAAGTGAAATCATCTTCACCCACCGGAACTGGTTTTCCCAAAAGCTTGCAGAGGCCCAAAAATATCTGCAGAATGCCATGAGAGCTTCAAAACATACATATAGTGTCATGTTCAAGAGGTTATATCAATAAAATAATAATCCACCAATCACAATATACTAATGTTTCTCATGCATTTACAACTTTATATATTACTAACAATCACAATCAAGTAAAGCACATTTCCACGTATGCTTTCTAAACTTGAGTTTTGTTACAATGTAATTCACTAAAGACTCAAAATGTCGATGAACCATCAGATAATAGCACATTTGTACTCCATCACAACCATCATTTTATGATCTTACCCTTTTAAATCACACAGACCAAACGGAGAACTTTGTTTCCTATGCGTCTAACATAATACTAAATTTAAAATCACATAATAACTGGCATATAAAATTGAAAACATGCAATTGCAATGGGCTGAAAGCCATCAATAGCAGCCTTAAAAAAGTAAATAAATAAATAAAAATAATAAATAAATAATATTTGCACCTTTAGAAACACTAAACATTTACTTTCCCAATGAAAGATGCTAAAAAGAGGCTATGCTGGATCATTGTAATATAAGGATTGACACCTTCTACAAAAAAGATATACTAACAGAGTTTCTTTGTAAAGTCTTGACATCTTTATAAGTTGAATGTTTGAAGACTTATAGTGGCTACAGACTGAATGATTACTTGAGTGCTTATTTCCCAGTTGCAACTGAACTCTCCTCAAAGAGGTCAAAACCCCATTACTAACATTTCATCCTTTGCTTCTTTCATTTGCATATCTGACCTAAACCTGACGTACTTCCACAAAACTAGACTAGTGAAATTCAAAGATAATGTACAAAAGCCAGAGTCGTTAGTGAAAGAGCAAACATCAGCTCGACTTCAAAATTCAAACCCTTGTATCTGAAGAAAAGCCAAACCACAATATCTATTTAATAAATATATGCATATTTTCAAGGGAAGTTTGGTAACAAATATTATAAACTAGATTAGTTTCTACTCTTCTCCCTTTACATAAAAAGCTGGAGACTGCAAACTGAGACTGGCTACTCATTTTTGTAGGAAACCGGGGAAAAAATAGAGAGAGATGTGACAGAACAGAAAATGAAAGAAAAAGCTTAGAATTATCTCTATTTTTTTTCCTAATGAAGAAAAAAATATAGATAAAACAATATGGTACAAGAAAAAAAGTGAGAGCGTACCCTCACAACAAGAAGCATAGCCCTACAGAATAGGGATAAAATAAACACAAGGCTAAACCCTTGTTGCCCTAAGAAACATAAAACAAACTCCTATCAGATGACATCTTGGAGGCATACCCCCAAGACATCCAAAACTCTTCCCAAACAATAAATTTAGCAAGCATACATGGTTCTCTAGGCTCTACCATTTCTCTCAATCCAAAAGCTTAGCATTATCAATTTTAGCAAAATTATTGTCCATATTGATCAAATCAACTATAGCTGAAGCAAATGTAGAAAAGGTTATTCACATGGTTCTAATTTTTTAATTGCATGAAGATAAAGAAAGTGGTTCTTCTGAAAAAGACATATGTCAGTCAATGCGAAATACTTTTTTAGAGTATTAAACCAGACTTCTATCTAGAAAAGGAGAGGTTTGAAATACCTGTTCACATGTTCTATTGCAAAACCAATTTCCTTTAGGATATCTCTCCAGCTTTATGAGACCTCTTTTTCTTAAGCATCCAACATGATCTGCATCAAATTGATTAATTAATCAGAAATGTATTCAATATGGGTGAAGTTGCACAGGTATAGATTATATTTTACACATTTTTGCGTGATATAACACATGTAAAGAAAGTATATAGTTAACGCACACTGATGCTCGCACTGATCACAATTGAGAACACTATTATCCAGAAACTTTTCAGTGTCTCTGTTGAATCGGCTTTGGCCACAAATTCCACAACAGTAGGGTGGGCAGAACCAGTCGCCATCTGGTACATCCTAAATGAACAACAAAATATAGTCCAACATCAAAACTCAAAATAATAATTCATATTTATTATTGAAAAGAAAATAAAAAACCAATGCAATGCAAGAATCAAAGCCTCTAACCTTCAAACCAAGGCAATTTGCATGGAACGATGATGGACATTGATCACATAAAATTAGTTCACCCCCAGAGTAACAAACAGAACATATGTAGTCATTTGTGCCCTGATCCCACTTACCCTTTTTCACATTTGGTTCTATCACGAAGCTTTTTTTACAATTTTCACGTTTCAATTGCATCTGACATTCTAACAAAGACCTTCCATCCTCAAAAAAAATATTGGCAGATGGTCGCTGATTAGTACTGCCAGCATGAGCTTCAGATTTCTTAAGAGAGAACTTTTTGGCAACAATTGCACTTGATCCCATCATGAGTTATTCGCCCTTCTGCCATTGGAGAATGATAATTTCTGCTATGGTAATGTACTTTTGCCCTAGGCAACACCACATTGTTATCTATTAACCAAGACAATACAGTTAGAGGGTTGTGGGAAGAAACCACCGCCTGCCGGGCTCTTTTTCTAGATCGCAGCACACGATTTGGACAATCAACATTACCGTCATCTCTTAATTTGATCAAAAACTTATATATCTTTCCTTTCTTCGGCTTTGGAGAGCCAACATTTTGATCATTCTTTTCAAGCAAGTTAGATGGAAAATGCAGGTTGCCATTCTCTCTATTTTTTCGAAGTTTTCTAATTCCTCGGGCTTTTAATTTACTAAGTTTCCTTGAAAATGATATCCCATAAGAATCCCTTGACCACTTTTCAGACAACACATTCTGTGGTATCAAATCTCCACGAAACTCAATATCAATTAATGCAGAAGATTCACCAGCTAACTGGGCCTCAGTTTCCTCATTGGCATTTGTATTTTGCCTTGGTCTACAGGTAGAAGCAGCTTCAATTATTGATGCCAAACCATTCCGATCAATGTCACCTTCAGTTGGAACGTTTGCATTATTTAGATCATTAGGCTGCATTTTGGTCACAGAGCCATCATTTTCAAGAGGTACAACAGCAATAGAGTTACCCAAATCTGCTTGGGGATTCGGTATAACATCACAAGCAGGTTCAGATAATTCCAATGCCTGCTGGGATTCCTCTACCAGGTCTTCTGAAGAATCCAATTTAAGTAAAAATTGGTGAGTTAGATTTATATTATCAATAATAACTTGAGCCACCAAATCTTTCCAGATATTTCTCGCGAAAGAAGTCCATTCCTTAAGCTTAATAAAACCTTTATTTCCCCGCATATCATACCAAATTTGCCTTGCAGAAACTTGAAGGGGCCACTCTTTTTGGATATCTTCAAGCACCTCAAGGAATAACCAATTCCCACGAGGCTCCCAGTCTCCAGTATACTCATCCCAATCCTGTGTAATCCGTAACATCTCAATTTTAAACGTCATTGCATCACCAATATCTGGAAAGAAAATCTGGCGGTTCTCACAACCATCTTCGTGGTCTAAAATCACACCTTCCCACCATGCCTCCTCATAATACACATCAACACACTGTCCATAATGAAGGCACCATTTCTCAAAACGAAGCGGAGGTGGAAATGGCCTTATCAAGGCACGATTGTTAGAGGGTGTCCTGTTGGCAGGGACTACCCCATCAACCATAGAAGGAACTGTCTCAATGAGATTTTCTGAACCATCATTGCATAAAAAATGGTCGTATTGGATTTGAAGTGCCTGACCTTGGCAGACAATCACAGTTGCAGAGTGCCAAGACCCCTGAAACCCCTCTTCAACACTCCTTACCTGCACAAATTTCACACGTTTTATGGGAAAATCCTTAAAACACAAACTAAAGAATAGCTATAAAAACACAATACCGACACAACCCATACGTTTTTTTCCCTTATAAAACACAAACAAGCATTACCCGAACTCAATACATAATAAAAAAGAAAGCATTAATCAAACCCACAACCTTAATTACACAGTAAAATCAATATAATCCCATAGCAAAGAAATATCAAACCCATAACTCTATTTGCATGTACACTACTATTAAAGAAAAAGAAAGATTGGCTAAAACCTAAAATCTTATCAAAAATAAAGTATTAATCAAACCCATACCCTTACAAACACAGTAAAATCTATATATACCCAAAGTATAAAAAAAATCAAACCCATAACTCTATGTGCATGTACACTACTACTATTAAAGAAAAAGAAAGATATATTAAAACAATCTATATCATCCCATATTAATCACTGCATACAGTACTATGAATAAACTAAAAATAGACTTTAACAATGACAAAAATAGAGACTGTACAAGGCCACAATGCAAGTAAAATCAAAGAAAACATCATTTTGAAAACTTCACAATCGATTAATAGGCAAGAAAAAAAAGAGGGAAATTATTGTAAATAAACAAAGGGAAACAAAATTAAACCAAAGGGTTGGTATAATGATAAAATCACTTGACTTTGGTATTTACTTACAATAACTAAGAACGATTGACCGTACTAGGTAGACCTCAGGTGGGGAGGGACCCTTTCTGAGTCCCCTAGTATTAGTCCCGCTTATCCGAAAAAATAAATAAATAAATAAACCAAACTCAAAAGCCACAAACTCCAAAATTAAAAAAAATATAAATAAAAAATAAATAAAATAAAATGAAATCAAAAACAAAGAGGGCTCAATTTTCATTCTGGGACGTGAAAATAACGATTTTCTTGAATACTTTAACACCAAAAAAAAAATTTAATAAGGACATTACTTCAACTTTTTGATCAGCGACAAGCTTTGGGTGATCATCCACTGTTCTGCGTTTTCTTTTCTTTCCTGAAGAAGGAATATTATCAATCTCGGAGGGTTTTGAGTTTTGTGAAAGAATGGGTAAACGGATTGGGGAGCAAGTAACAGAGTGGATATGGGTTTCACAACAAAACGCCCCTTCCTTTGTCATATGTTGTTTTTGGCAAGTCTTTCTCACTGTTGTTCTGTCTTTATACACACTCTACACACATATGGGTTTTAAGAAATTAATAAAATACCAAAAAATAAAAATCTGAAATTACTAAAATATAATGAAATTCAGAAAGAATTGATTTTGTAAGGGCGAGTGTAGGATAAAAACGTGCACTTGTATTGGATTGTACAAGCACGCTTTTGTGGAACTTGTACCGTGGCCGTACAGCTATAGTCAAACCATGATTCATTGATTCTAGTCTAAGTTGTTTTTTTTAGTTCTTTTTCTTTTCTTTTTTCCTTTTCTTGAAGCCCAAGTCCTTTTCTTGAAGCCCAAGTAGCGTGGGACCGATGGATATTTTGACCGTCCGACACTTGGGAGTTGGGGGCTTAGGGGACGAATTCAAAATTAAAATTTATTTTTTTAGATACATTTTAATCCGATAGCATTCCATAATTTTTAATAAAAAGTTTAAAAATATTTCCGTTTACCAATCAGAGTTGAAACATAATTTCACGTTTTTAATAGTGTATTTTTCTGAAACACAAACAACCGTCTTTTTTACCATCTTTTGTTTGATACGGCCATTATCTTTCACGTAATCAAAATAATGTTATTTGTTATGTAATCTTGGGAAAGGTTGCAACTACTCTCTCACTTACTTGTTCTACATTCAAGGTATCACTTTTTTTTCTTTTTTTTTAATCTCTTATTGTTGTCACTCCAATGTATGATCTTTAATCAAAGTAATAGAAGATATATATATATATATATATATATACACATACTTGTGAAACACTATAATCTTGAAGAATCATAAGTTTTTATTAATGTTTGTTGATATTTATAGATTTTTTGTTTTATTGTGAGATCTTTTAAATTTTGGTAGTATCTTTATTATTATTATTATTTTAGAAGTTTATAGATCACCATACTTCCTACATGTTTTAGTAGAGTATCACATTATATACTTATGAATTTATTATAAAATATATAGGCTATCAAGGAAAGATGGGAAAAAAGAGAGATTTTTTGGGATCATGTTGAACAATTACAAGGTCGTTTCATGTATAAGTATTGTAACTTTAACTATCCTAAAGGTATTTCAAGAGTCAAATCACACTTATCTAGGTAAAAGTAGAGACATTGAAATTTGTTCAAAAGTACCTCAAGAGGTTCAAACAGCTGCATTTTTAGCAATTGGTGGTCTGAACAAAAAAAATTAAGACTACAGTTACTCCAATTGATGTTGAGCAAGGTGGGTTTGTTAATTTTTCCTCTTTATCTTCAAATGGCTTACAACAATCTACCATGCCAGAAACAATTAAGAAGATGGATAAGAGTGAGGTGGATAAAAAACTTGCCAAGTACATTATTTTTAATAATATTTCATTTAATGTGGTTCAGACTCAATCTTTTATTAATTTAGACTCAATCTTTTATTGATTTCGTGAGAAGTGTTGTTGAATTTGGGTCAACATACAAATTACCTAGTTACTCAACTTTACGCACGAAGCTAATACCAGATTCTAAGACAGAAGTAGAGGCATACATTAAGAATGTGAAGAAAACTTGGGTTGCTACATGTTGCACACTAATGTCAGATATATGGAGTGACATGAAGCAACATGCCTTTATCAACATAATTGCACATTCACCTGGTGGGCCAGTATTTATGAATTCATTTAAAATTTTAAAAGATAAAAAAACAGGTGTTTATCTAAAAGATATTATGTTATCAATAATTGAAGATATTGAACCTAATCACGTTGTGCACATTACTGATAATGTATCAAATTTTGAATCAGCTGGTGACATGTTTATTGGTAAGTACCCTCGTATGTATAAAACACGATGTGCTGCTCATAGGATTTAGCTACTATTGAAAGATATTTATTCTGAAGTTTTGTGGATACATGATATTATTGATGATGCAAAATTAATTGTGATATAATTGTACAAGCACACTATTATTTTGCCATTAATGAGAGAGCACACAAATCATAAGGAACTCAAACATCCTTGTGCGACTAGATTTACCTCCAATTTTTTGATGGTTCAATCAATTTTAGAAGTTAAAGATGGATTGCGATTATTTGTGGCATCTTTAGAATGGAGGGGGTTGGATTGCGACAAAAGAGGGATGGGACTAAAGGTTGCTAGTATTATTCAAAGTGTTGCGTTTTGGAATAAAGGGAAAAAAGTAATACAAACTCTGGAGCCTTTAGTTAGAGTTATTTGTTTGGTTGATGGTTCAACTGCAGGATATTTGTATGAGGCGATGGAAAGGGCAAAAGAAACTATTAAACAACGTTGTTGTATTAATCAAGCAAATTACATGCAGATATGGATGTTATTTGAAAAACGGAGAAGTGAAAATGTAATCCACCCAATACATGCAGCTGCTGCATTTTTAAATCCTGCCTTCATGTGTAGCGAGGACTTCAGAGAAAATCGTGAAATGAAAGATGGTATAGATTTTATGTTATGAAATTTTATTATTGAAGAAGAAAAGGAAGATTTTATTCAAGAACTACAATTTTACCGTATGAAGACCACAACTTTATTCACAAATATAGCAAAGACAATGTTGGAAACATCTCATCCTCGTAAGTTTTTATTTTATTTTTTAAAATATCTTGTTAAAATTATAATAAGCTTTATATATTTAGTTTATTATTATTATTATTATTATTATTAATTTTTTTATTTTGTGTATGAGTTTGGTGGGATTATTGTGGGGATTGTCTTTCTGTGCTACAACGGTATGCCATTCGTATATTGAGTCAGCTTTGCAGTTCTTCATGTGAACGAAATTGGAGTGCTTAGGAAGCTGCGCAAACAAAGAAAATGAATAGGTTGGCACCTACAATGTTGGAAAATCTTGTATACGAAAGGATGAACACAATGATGATGGAAAAATTCAAGACACTCGAAGCACAAGATTTGGAGCCAATTAATCTTGACAAACTTAGTGACAATCTTGAGTATGTTGATAATGAAGAATTGGAGGATTATTCCTTAGAGCCAACAGATGACGTTTCTAGTGATATAGTCACCAATGATGAAGATCTTTCTTGGTTAGATGGTATTATTTAAATTTAGAATAATTTTATATTTTTATTTTGGGCAACATAATTGATTATTTGAATTAGAATTTTTTCATTAATTTTGTGATAAAATTGATCATGTTATGGTTATTGCTTCATTAGATTTAGATAGTTTAATTTTTTTTATTTTTTTTTTATTTTTTATGATTATTGTGATAGTATCAATTGTAATATATTTATTTTATTATTTTTTACATATTCTTTATATATGATATATAAGAAAATAATAAGATATGTATAGCTGAATTTTTTATTACGAATTTTTAATGTATATAACATATTATACATGTACGTATCCGTATTTGTATTTTTACGTTTCCGAATTCTTTTGCCAAAATTTTTTAAAAGTATTTTTAAAAAAATATCGAATTATACTCGTACGTTTTCGTACCCGTATTTTCCCCGTAACGTATTTTACTAACTATGGTTATATGGCAGGATAGTAATAATATATTTCATACGGAGTATAATATATTTCATAGTTTTAATATTCAAAAAGTTTCATCTTCTAATAAATATATAAATTATGAATTTAATATTGAGAAAGTATAGAAAGTAACCTTAGATCAGTATCCTCTCCATTTACACAGTTGTCCATTTCCTCCATTTCTGTTAAGGAACAGTAGTTACCATGGTGGGTAAAAATGTGTATTTGTTGTATATACAATTTTCGCCAGTTCAGTTTCTTCTCTCCCAAAATATCAATAAACCCATTTCATATTTTGATTTCTTTCGAAATAAAAGCAAGAAGCAGCCTTTATTCTCTCCTAAAAACAAATCGAATAAGTGTTTCTTTTGTCCCAAAATATTCAGATTTTGATTTCTTTCCAAATAGAAGCAAGATTATATTTCCAAATCGAAGCAGGATTGTATTTCTTCGTATAGTGGGTCAGAGCAGAGAGGCACAAGAGGTACGATTTTGAATTGATCGTTGTTTTATTGTGATGTTATTTGGGGTTTTAATGTTTGTTTGTGAAGAGAAAAAATTAGAGGATTTGTAGATCGAGTATATGAGTGGCCGAAAAAGAGTGTTTCAGAGTACAATGTGTTACCATGGTTGTGAGTATTGGAGTCTGATTTAATTTAATTATGTTTTAAGGGAAGAAAGTTAGGTTTTGTTTGGGTTAGGTTGTGGGATCAAAATCCTCTCTACCGCAATAATATATATGTGTGACAGCTCGTCAGAAAAGTTTGTGATATATGTCAAGAAAATCTTGGGACGGTGGCCTTGTATCACAACATTTTCCTAAGTTACATCCCAACTTTCTACTAATAAGCATCACAACAGTTTCCTAATATACATACCAATATTTTTGTAAAGTGCATCCCAACATTTTCATAATGTGCATCCCAAATTATCCTTATTTGCTTCGACATTGGCCTTGCATGTCAACATTTTCCAAAGATACATCCTAACATTTTCGTAACAAACATCCCAACATATTTGTAAAGTGCATCACAACATTTTCTTAAGGTGCATCCTAACTTTTTCGTAACATATATCCCAACATTTTCCTAAGGTGTATCCCAATTTTTTCGTAACATACATCCCAATATTTTCCTAAGATGCATCCCAACTTTTTCGTAACATACATCCCAACATTGTTCTCAGGTGCATCCCAACATTTTCCTAACGTGGATCCCAACATTTTCCTAACGTACATTCCAACATTTTCGTAATATTTATCCTAACATTTTCGTAACGTGTATCTCAAATTATCCTCACTTGGCATATCTCAAATTATCCTCACTTGGCATAAATGATTTTTATCCTGGTTTGTGATCCTGTTTTATTAGCGATATAGTTGATTGATACAAGTAAAGAAATGAATGAGATATATGCCAAATTGAATTGGTGATACATGTGAAAAGATTTTGTATTTGAATCGTTCATATGGAATATACTTGGGATGTAGAAGTTTAAATTTTTTTTGTTAGTTCAATATTTTGCAAATGTGAAAAGGTTTTGTATTAAAGTTGTTCAAATGGAAGGTGAAGTAAATAATATTTAAAACACAAAAAATGGACTAAACGTTCCTGTTGTTGAACCTGAAGTCATTAAATGGAAACCAAGGTATGCTATGGAGTTTGATACTGAAGAAGAGGCATATGATTTTTACAAAGCATATAGTGGTCGAGTTGGTTTTAGCATCTGAAAGGAGTATCGTACTAAAGTTAATGGAAGAATTACATCAAGGATGTTAGTTTGTAGCAAGGAAGGTGTGAAGGGGACTGACAAACAGGATGTATTTAGAAAGACTCCTCAGGCTGAAACACGAACCAATTGCGGTGCACAAATGGTTCTTAGATATGACAAGACTAAGGCAAAGTATGTAGTTTCTAAATTTGTTGAAACTTACAACCATCAATTTATAATTGCTGAATGTATCCACATGATGCCGTCCCAGCAACGAATTTCCTCAGTTCAGGCCATTGATGTTGAGTTGGCTTTGGATTTAGGAGTTATGGCTTGTAATGCGTATGAGTTGATGGGAAGGCAAGCTGATGGCAAAGAATCAATTGGGTACCTGAAAGTGGATCTTAAAAATTATCTAAGGACCCGAAGACAAAAAAAGCTTCTTTATGGAAAGGCGGGATGGCTTGCGGATTATTTTTAGAAGCGTGCTCCCCCCCTAAAATCGAGTTTTCTACATGACAAGTGAGAGAATTAAAAAAAAGCTAACTGTAAAATGCCCAAAATGCCCCTAGATCAGAACTGGTCAAGAGAGGCAAAAAGCTGATAAAATGCAAACTGGAAGCTAAAACTTCACAAGGTATTTCCGGTACCAAGACGACATTTTTTGGAAAAACACAAAGAAGAAACCCCCCTAAAATCACATTTTCTATTCGACCATGTTGAAAGAAGAAATTAAAACTGATGTGAAAGGTCTAGAATACCCCTAGATTAGATTATGCAACAAAATTTCAAAATGAGTCCATAGGAGGCTCATTTCACCAAAAAAGAAGGTTTGCCCGGAAATGACCATGCACGCAAACGTAACTTACCTATTTGGACATGCTACAATGGTCCACGACTTAAAAATACCACCGATACAAAATCCGACCCCCCAACGGGCAAAAAGGCAAAAATGGAACTTAGAATGAAAACTCAGAATCCAAAAATACAAAACGGGGTCAAATGACCGTTTGGCCCTTGGTCACACTTCAAACATGATTTATAAGACCCTATGAAAGAATGAAAATGGAATTCCCACATCCGATGCAACCATGGTGAGACAATGACTTGGCGTTTTTCAATATTTTCATAATATTTCATGAAGTTAAAAGTTACATAGGATACAAATTAGATGTCATTAGCCTATGGCCTCATCTCATACATGTCAAATACATTGTAAAGAGTGTACTTATGTACACATTATAAAAATAGAATCAAATTTACACATTTTGACATATAAAGCTATAAATGGCATTTCAAGCCAACATTTACATGAAATGAGAACTTCAAGTCTACAAATCATCCAAGCATGATGTGAATCCCAAATCTTGATCCCGGTACCTGAAAAATGTCCCTACTACGTGGGTGAGTAACATAAAGCTACTCATAGGAGATGAGCAAGCATCGACCTAGCATTTTACAATTTTATCACCTTAAGGCGAAACATGTCAAAGGGGCTCATGCCACCTAACGTCTATATCAAAATGAGACTCAGGGAGCATCCTAAGCTACTCATGCCATTTAAAGTGAACAATAACATACAAGTATACATGCTCAAGTATACTAAACAATGTTAAACACGTTATACAACATACAAGCATACATTTCCAAGTATACTAAACCACATTAAGATAAGTCATGCAATGTCTAAGCATATTTACACAAGTATGCATTTTATATGAAAATCTCGTAAATCAAGTATACGAGCACAAGTATGCTAAACTAAAAGAGATACGCCTAAAACAAGTATACACGGCACAAGCATACAAGTTCAAGTACACTATATGAGTTCTAAATGCACAAAACAAGTATACAGTTTCAAGTATACTAAGTAAGATTCAAATATCCAAAGCAAGCATTAATTCTCAAGCTACATGAAATCCATGATTAACAACTTGAAATTGAATGCAAAATCAAAGTAGAAAGACTAGGACATGTGGTCACTAGACCAAACAAGTGTTTCCGGGTAATTACAACCCACAAGGCACTACCTAGTGCGCACATGCATAAGTTATTCCGGGCAATTACAACCCACAAGGTACTACCTAGTGTGCACTATGACTGAGAATATTCTTGTCTCCGTACTAGAGCCAAACCCTAGCCATCACGTGAAATATGTCCTTACAAGCTTTCCAAAATCAATAAGTCCAAAACTTATACAAAAATCAATAAGTTAGACCAAACTTATACCAAATCCACTAATGCATAAAGCCATCTTCCATGCATAAATAAGGTTGAATCCACACAAACCATGTCCTAGAATTCAAGTCTAGATAGCTTATGACATGTCAAGCCTCCAATATGCAATTTATACACCAAAATAAGAATATTTTACAACAATTGAACCACATTACCACACTAAGCCACAAGTACTAAATAAGTCCCAATTTAGTAACTAGCTTCCAAGGTAAACAATTGTAATATTCTAACAAGCTATACACTTTGACGACCCTTGTTTTTAGGCCAGCGTGTCCTGTGATGAACCGTAAGGATAATCCGATAACGGATCCGAATGCGAAAGTGAAAATAGAAAACAAGACTCTAAGAAGTCAAAATGACCTTCCATGAGGTCGTGGAACTCAACAAGAACTGATGCAGAAGCAAAAGATCGAAAATATGACAAATAAGCCCCTATGGGCAAAATAGTCATTTCTAAAAACTGTAGATTCGGGTGCCAGCGAGTACACCGCTGGAAGGACAACAAAAAACTAATCAAGATGGACTCAAGAATCGCATGATTCGGAGACCGAACGAAGGAGAAATGGCATGACGAAGAAAAATGAGCACTTAAAGCAAAAAGGGTAAATTGACAATTATCCAGGAAGAACAGGGAGCAACCGAGCACACCATTGGAAAGACAGCGAAAAATTAGTCAAGTTCAAAAAAAAATTCACTTGAATCGGAGTCCGGACGAAGGAAAAAAGCCCAAAAGAAGAATTAATGTCGCGGCGGCCCGACGAGGGGCCATGGCGCACACGGCGCCCATGCGCGAGCCCACCGGCGTGCATACCGGTGCCCAAAGATATGGCTGGTGGCAGCCTTTGGCTGCTGCTACATTTTTTTTTGATCTGCCTAGAACTGAGGCTTGAAACGAAGGTCAAGACGAGTTTTTCTGGAAAAACATGAAGAAGAAACCCCCCCTAAAATCGAGTTTTCTACCCGACATAGTAAACAGAATCGAAAAAAACTCACTGTGAAATCCCCAAAATGCCCCTAGCTCAGAACTGAACAAGAGGGTCATAAAGCTGCTAAATCAAAACTGGAAGCTAAAACTTCACGAGGGATTTCTGGTACCAAGACAACATTTTCTAGAAAAACACGAAGAAGAAACCCCCCCCTAAAATCATGTTTTCTAAGCGACCATGTTGAAAGAAGAAAATAAAACTGAGGTGAAAGGTCCATAATGCCCTTAGATCAGAATATGCAAAAAAAATACGAAATGAATTCACAAGAGGCTCAAAACACAAACGATGAGGTTTTTCCCGGAAACGACTATGCACGCAAACGTAACATACCTATTTAGACGCGCTGCTATGGTCCATGGCTTAAAAATATAGCCGATGCAAAATCCGACCGCCCAACGGGCAAAAAGGCAAAAATGGACTTGGAATGAAAAACATGGAATCCAAAAATGCAAAACGGGATCAAATGACTGTTTGGCCCTTGGCCACACTTCATACAAGATTAATAAGACCCTATAAAAGAATGAAAATGGAATTCCCACAACCGATGCAACCGTGGTGAAGCAATGACTTGCGATTTTTCAAGTTTTTCATAACATTTCATGAAGTTAAAAAGTTGCATAGAATACAATATACATGTCATTGGCCTCCGGCCTCATCTCATACATATCAAATACATTGAAAGGAGTGTACTTAAGTATAAATTACATACATGGAATTAAACATACATATTTTGACATACAAGTCTACAAAATGACATTTCATACTAACATTTGCATGAAATGGAAACTTGAAAGCTACTCGACATCCAAGGAATGCTAGGCTTCACGAACCAAGTCTTCGTACCTGAAATATGCCCCAGTATCGTAGGGGTGAGTAACATAAAGCTACTCGTAAGAGATGAGCATGCATCGACCTAGCATTTTACAAATTTATCACCTTAAGGTGAAACATGTTAAAGGGGCTCATGCCACCTAACTTCTATGTCCAAGTGAGACTCGGGGAGCATCCTAAGCTACCTTAAAGTCTAAGCAACAAGAATCATGATATACATACGTGTATGAAACGAATCATGGTTGGGATAATCTAAAGAACATGACAAGAAGAATGCTTGAGCATATATTAACATGAATTGCATTTTCAATACAATTGAACTAGGTCTAGAGTAATCCATACAGCATAACAAAAGCATAATTGAATACAAGTTAACAAGAATCACATTATCCATGCAATTCAACAACAAAAGAGCATGTTCAATGCAACAAGGTTTAAGTTCTCAAAGCCATTAACTTAGAATCTAAAGCACAAAATAACAGTAGTGATTTATGCCACCTAACGTCTATATTATAAATGAATCAATAGGATCAATCCTAAGCTTTATTAGAATGTCAAAACACGATTTTCAATATCGATGCAATTTAACCAACATTGGAACTTCCAATACAACGCATAAAGCACAATTTCGCAAAGTTAACATCTTGTAACTTAAAATGGAACGACAAATAAGAAACAACAAGTTACAACATCATCTAGTTATCAACTTGAAAATGAAATGCGAAATCAAATAAAGTGGATACTCGGACGTCACGCCGGATCAGACCGACAACATAGTTACTTTAGGGTTACTAGCCCATGGGTAATCTCCCTATGTGCGCACTAGACTATATATAGAGGGACTATCCCCCGTACTAGAACCACGTCCTAGCCATAGTCAAACAACGACATCCCCAAGTTTCCAAAATCAATAAGTTGTGCAACAACGCATATATCAACAGGAATATGCAAGATAATCAACTATCTACTAAGCACAACCAAATTTGGAAACCTATACAATACATGCTCTAAATCCACAACTAATATGATATGATGAATGTCGAATCTTCAGTGTGCGATTTGTTACACGCTATGCATGGAAGATGTTAAATACGAAATGTGCAAATCATTACACACGGCAACAATATATTCAATAAGGAAAACATATTGTCATGAATACAAACATAGCAACTATGTTATCCAATGTTCAAAACATGACGAAATGAATATACAACAAGTCTAAGTCCAGGATTTTGATATAGAAATGACTTTCAAACACAATTAAATCCATGGCTCAATTCGATAGAATTTAATTAAATAAAAATAATTAAATTCCCTAGATTCTAATCCAATTCCAAATAACCTCAAATTAATACATATTAAAGAAGATGGCATGGTCATCACATATATCCATTCTAAAACTCAATTAGGTTATTGGAACAACAAA